AAATGTTGATGAGTCAACAAGCTTGTGGCTGAGATAGATCCTGGAATCCTGACCATGGATTTCTGGAAGGTATTTGGGGAGGTCACTCATCAAAAGCTCTTAAAAGTTACACTGCCAAGAAATAAATAACTGCAGGGGTAACTGGTTGAAAGACAGGAAATAAGACAGTAGGAGTCAATAGTCCATTTTCACAGTAAAAGGAGGTCACCAAGAGAGTCCCGCAAGGATTCAGGTTCTGGAACCTGCTCTGTGCAACATATTTCTCAAGAATCTGGAAATGGCAGTGTCAATCTGCTGCTGGTACAATGTTATTTAGGGAAATATAGGCAATGGCAGGCTGAGAAGAACTGCAAGAGTCTGAGGATACTGAGTGTATGGGCAAAAAATGGCAAATGGAATTTAGGGAGGTAGTGCATATGGGAATAAACTGTTCTGTCTTCACATTTGAAAGGAAAATCCCTGAGCTGTTGCAACAGTTATAACAGGTAGTTTTATGAAAATGTCTTCTCTGTGCCCAGTAGTGTGAAAGAAAGCAAATCAATTATTAAACATTGCTAAGAAAGGAGTAAAAAATAAAACAGAGAAAACATCAAGACAATGTATAAATTGATAAATATTGTACACAAATCTGAGTCCTCCATCTCAAAAAGAGTAAAAAGGCATGGGGAAATGTTCAGAAAAGGGCAAGGAAAAAGGGATCATAAGCATGCAGTGTCTTCTGTACAAAGAATGACTTAGATAAACCTTGTGGGAAAAAAGTGTGTCTGTGTGGATATGATAGAGGTCTGCAAAATCTAGAGCAGCACAGAGGGAGGAAACAGACTGAACACTGACCTTTGACAGGTGCTGTCAAATTAAAGATCATTTGTAGTCCTGGCCAGGCAGCACTGAAAGAAGGTAAAATGTCAAGATTAAGCTGCACTTGACCTAACAAGTATGGGTGCCCTGATGATCCAAACAAGCTGAAAGAAAACATAGTGGTGGGATACTGATACTGATAACATGATAGTAGTAACAGAACGGCTAGTCTGGTTTGAAAAATCTGAGTGTCCATCCCAAAGCACTGCCCAGGAAAATTAAGGCCATAGGTGCATCAATAGACCTTACTTGCCCTGACCAGCCTCACCTGGGGCTTCCACCCACACCCACTGCCCCATGGGCCCAGGAACTCCATTTAAGTTAACAACTGGGTCCCTGACTCTTGCCTGAGCTACATCATAGGTGTATCACAGGTATACTTGTGTCCACTTCTGTCTCCTGTTGCTCGTTCTGTCTCCTGGATTTCAGGATTGACCTCAGAACTGACTGACCACCTTGCCTTTGTCTGATGATCACTGGACTGTTGATGAAGACTGTTATCACCAACCCTGCTTGGGTACTGTAGGACTGGACCTTGAGTGGTGAGATCACTGCTCCTGCCTGTTTTATGGTCAGTCCTGGCTTGTCTTCCCCTGTGGAGCAGTCCCCACTCCTGCCTGAGGGGTCAAGCCTTCTTGAACTCTGAGCTAGGCACTGCAGGGCCAGGCCCTCAGGCTGTGCAGGGGCTAGCCCCAGTGGCTCCCTACAGCTCCAAGCTAATCTCCAAACCCTGGCCAGAAAGCAGAGATAGGTCACAGCCCTGCAGAATTCTTTAACATCCCCTGTGCCCAGAGTCTCCCCTACCCCCAGCTTTGCCAAACCCCCTTCAGCAGGGATCAGGTGAGGGTTCAGGGATTTATTAGGCACACATGGCTCATCTTTACAGCCAAGGCAATAGATACTAGCTGCTCTGCAGTCATAATCTCCTGGCTTTCAGGATGGCCCTGGATTGAGTCACCTCTATAAGAAATGCAATGACTGTTTTCCAGAACCCTGAAGCATTATTCACTGATTGGAAGTGGTGCCTTTGGGGACCATCGATGTGCAGCTGTGGCTGTGATTGCCAGCTCCAGCAGGGAAGCCAGGTGGCTGCTGACAATCCAATTTATGCATTGGTTGTGGAAAACTGGCTGGGAAGAATGGGTCCTTAATGCCCACTACAGATTACCGCCTACTCAAATTCATTCCTTTGGTGAGGCAATGGGCGGTGCAAGAGGTTGGACTAATTTGCGTAATGGTTTCTTTCTGCTGCTCCTTGCTTCTTACTAATTTTCCTCTGCTCTGCTATGGCTCACTCATGGGCTGCAGTCCCCTTCGGGGCGTACCTCCACAGGTATAGAGCACCCATTTTCAGGAGTGCCTGTCCAGCTGTATCCCCAACAATATCTCCTTCTATGTGTTTCCTCCATTTCTCCTTTCATGTCTCCTCTGCTTCTTCTCAGTGTCTTTTCCTCTTTTCCTCCCTAAGTGGCTGCTTACATATGTGTGAGCTGGGGTGCCATGTGCTCCTCTGAAGTTTTGGGGTGTAGTGGGTTGTTTACATTGATTTCAGAGTTATCTGGTACTGGCTGTGACTGTCATGGGGCAATACTTGATCTTCTCCTGCACATGTCACCTCTGCAACCTGCTGCTGAAGCCCTGCAATTTATGTCTAGTCCACTGTGTTACAGAAGCACAACCTTCTCATTAACCGGCAACTGGGTTTCTTGTGTTGCCTGCAGGAAAGGAATACCCAGATCCTGAGGGCAAAAATCTGCCCTGGAATCTTCTCTGGGCTGTCTTCCCCATTTCAGCATGAGGGTTGGTCTGGACTCCCATGTTTCTGGTTGTACACTGTGTGAGGCACAACAGCACAGGCTCAGCCCAATACTCCTACACCACTGCAGCTCTGTCTTGCCAGATGCCAAGACTGTACCTCTACCTCAGCCTCTGCTCCCCACCCCTTATGCTCCCAGATAAATAGAGTGATCCTGTGGATGTCTGTGGGAAGGACGCAGAAAACACTACTATCCTATTACTCATGACTGCCACATTGACCTGGCACCAGGAACAGGGATGCCCTTCAGGTACATCTTTGCCTTAAAGCACCCTGAATTAGCAGCCTGCAAGGACGACCTCAAGGACTGTCTGGCATGTAGGTTTATCCACCCCTCCCATGTCCCTGCTGGGGCCTCTATTTTTTTTTTCCTTCTTAAAAAAAAAAAAAGTCTCTGTGTAGATTGCAGTGGACTGAATGTCACCACAGTAAAGAACTGGCACCCTCTGCCTCTTGCCCTGGAGTTCTATGAACATCTGCAGGGAACTTGCTGGGTCACAAAGCTAGACCTGTGAGAGCCCTGGCAGGAGAATGAATGGAAAACTGCTTTTCACACCACATACAGCCACTAAGAGTATGTTGTGATGCCATCTGCTCTCTGCAATGCTCCAGCCAACTTCCAGCATATTGTAAATGATGTTGTGAAGGACCTGCTTCATTACTACATAGCAGCATATCCAGATGACATCTTTGATATTCTGCACCACTTAAGAGGCATGACCACCACTTAAGAGGCATGGTCTACATGACCATGTCTGGGAGGTCTTGAGTTTCCTGTGGCAGCACAGAATTCTATGCCAAACTCGAGAAATGGTCCTTTGACCAGCAGAGGGTGGAGTTCCTGAGGCCCCAATGTCTTGCACATGGATCCCAAAAAAAGTTGAAGCCATCACTTTCTGGTGTGCAGGCAGTGCACAGGATCTTAGGATTTGCCAACATCTGTTGACAATTCATGAAGGGGTTTTCTTCTGGTATTGTGGTTCCTACAGGAGCATTCACCCGAAGTGGGCTTCCTTTTGGTGAATGCCTGACATACACGTGACTTTTGAGAAAATGAAATGAGCATTCAGCAGAGGTACTAACCTACTCTACCAAGACCCCAGTTGGCTTTAAGTTGTGGAAGCAGATGCCTCAAACCAAGCCAGAGTGACCATCCTCCCGCAGAAGGTTGGCCTTACACAGGAGTGCTACCCTTTCTTCTCTTAGCAGCTCCTCCCTGCTGAGAGGAATTAGAAGCTTATCTGGGATAAGGAGTATCTTGCCAATCAAAGCTGCCTTCGAGAAATGGCAGCAATTCCTTGAGAGGGGAAAAAACACAACAGTGTTGCTGACCAACCATCAGAACATGGAATAGTAAGAATGGGTGAAGCGTTTCTCTCTCCATCTTGCCTCCTTTACGTGGTTCCCCTTCACTTTCACATTATGTCCAGGAAAGCAGAACAGCAAGGCAGATGCCTTGGCATGGAAGGAAGATTCAGATTTGGATGCACACCTTCTGCATGCACCCCAACACTCTTTTCTCCAAGACATTTCATTACAGCCATGGCAGAGGATGAATCACTGCAGAATTTTTCCTGGCCACTGGAAGTAACCTGAACCTAACACAGCATCCCATTGGTACAACTGCCTTCAGCCTGCAAGAACAGGATGGTTGCCTGTACCATGGCAGGCAGCTGTACATCCTACAGAGACCACTGCAGACACAAGTCTTCTGCTGTGCCATCATGTTCCTGCACCCAGACACAGGGACTGCTGGATGATGCAGTACCTGATTACCTGATGGCCCACATCTCAGGGAGATGTGGCTGACTATGTCCAGGCCCACAACAGCTGTGCTTGCACCAAAAGATCACAGGGTCCCTAACAGCTCCTCCCTGCTCCCAAATAGCCTTGGCTATTTGTTACTATGGATTTAATAGCAGACCTGCCCCCCTTGGAGTGGAGTGCAGTGGTTGTGATTGTGGACCTGTTCACCAACATAATTTACTTCATCCCCTTCAGAAAGTTGCCCATAGCCCGACAGACTGCCTCACCCTTCCTATAGCATGGTCTCCCAGACAGCATAATTAGTGACCAAGGGGCCCATTTAACAGCCAGATTTTTAAAGGAACTTGTGGGTCTTCTCCAAGTGCAAACCCGCCTCTCCTTCTTGTACCATCTCCCAGACAAGTCATCAGACGGATCATCAATCAAATCCTGGACCAATACATCCAGTGTTACAGTAACTTTCTCCAAAGATGAAAGGGTCACCATCTTCCTATTGGTAGTATTTGCCCATGCTAATAACATCCATATATTTACACAGCAGACCCCATTCTTTGCTTACTTTGGTTTCCTGCCGTGAAGTCATCCAGCCACACCAGCTGCTTCATGCTTAATTGCAAGTTGGAGATCTGCTCACACAACTCTGACAGGTTTCTAAGCCCCTCATAACTCAGCTGGACAAGGCCAAAAGGGCCCACAAAAGATGAGTCTTGGCTGGTTCTTGGCAGTTCTCCTGGGACATGGTCTGCAGAGGAACAAGCCTAGCTCAGGCCTCCTCCAGCTCTGTTGCAAGCTGAAGGCTTGGAATACTGGTGTCTACAGGGAGGAAGAATATGGGCAATGCTGTGCTGTAGTGCGTATCTCCAGACAACACCAAGAAACATGTCTCTCCCAATATTCTTTCTCCACAGGGGCATTGGAGATTGGAAACCACAGGAGTCAGGATGAGGCTAGAGGTTGCCCTAATCAACGTGGCAGGAGTGAAGATGATGGCTCTTCACCTATTTCCTGGAAAGGCTCTTACAAGGGGAGGGGCAAGACCAAGAGCAGGCATTACCTCAGGAGCAGCTGGGACACAATGCAGACGTGCTGTGGCATTGTGTGCTCTCAACTCTATGCTAGCAGAATTACTCAATTCTCAACAGCCAACTCTTCTAGTAGATGGAACAGCTCAAGTCACAGATAGACAAGCAGCTCCTTTGAAGATCTTTTTGTTCAAACACTGCAGAGCAGCACCACCTCCTGCAGCCTCAGTTCAGGAAGGCCCAACTCGGGAGCAGTCAGCCACTCAGCACCAAAGCCCTGTATGACTTGGCAGAGGAAAGACATCAGC